GACCAGGCTGGCATCCCTAGTGCTGAGATTAAAGGTGTGTACACCAACACGAGGCTTGCAGTTTCTTTTTCATTCTTTTTTTTTAAAGATTTTTCAAAGGTTTATTTGTTTATTATTTTATGTATATAAGTGCTTCATCTGCCTGTACACTTGTACTCAAAGAGGGCATTGGATCCCATTATAGATGGCTGTGAGCCACCATGTAGTGGCTGGGAATTGAACTCAGAACCTCTGGAACAGCAGGCCCTGTTCTTAGCCACTGAGCCATCTCTCCAGCCCCAGCATTTGTATATATTTATGAAAATTTTAATTTTTATTGAGAATAGATTTTTTTCATACAATATATTCTGATCATGGTTTCTCCTCCCCCAACCCCTTCCTGATCCTCCCTATCTCCCCATCCACCCAAATATCCAAATCCACATACCCTTCTTTCTCCCTCTCATTAGAAAACAAACAGGCAAACAAAAAAAGCAAAAACAAAACATAGACTAGGACAAACAAATAGTGGGGTGTTGGGGGGGAAACCAAAGAAAAAGCAGAAAAGAAACACATACAAAGAAATACACACATACAAATCCTCTAAAAACACAAAATCAAAACGGAAATATATAAGCAAAAGATCTATAAGGTAAAACAGAAAAAAAGCCCAGACAAAGTACTATGAGACAAAACTCCTCCAAAAACACCATTGAACTTGTTAGGAGTTGACCATCTTCGGCCAGAATTGGGCCTGACCTTAAGCATAGTTTGTAGGCTCTGAGACTGTCTCCACGGTTGACCTCTCCTAGCTACAGAGCAGGCTCGTGGCTTCCTAGGATGAAGCCTGGTACTTGCGGGAAGCTGAAGTGGTCCTACGATCAGGGCGTGAGGCTCTTGCCCAGTTTCTGTTCCTGAGGCTGCTTTGGCTTTTTTCTTCCTTCTCTGTAACAAGCCCCTGGGTTGTTACTCTGCTAGGAGCCCTCAGCCCTCTGAATCTAAATATTGACCTAAAAAACAAACAAACAAAATCTTCTTAAAATAAAATCCCATTGACCCTTGGTTCCCACCAGAACTAGACACCAGCTGCTGTCAAGCTTCACAGGCACAGGTGCTGCACCAACAGTTTGAAGTCCTTAGGCAACATCTAGGGACTGGGGACAAAGTAAGGGTGTCCCAGAAGGAAGAAGGGTCCCCCAAAGTGACCCAGCTTTAATAAATGTCACTTAGCATTCAGTTCTACTTGGTCTTGTGGAATCTGAGTTTCATTCTGTATAATTCTGATCTTTATATGTTTTTGTGGATCCATAAAAACTAATAGAACAGTCACTTTACAAATAAAAGTCTAGCCTGTGCTGATATTATGTTTGCTGAATAAATGACAAACATTAGCTTCTCTGTTCACAAAATGATAATCACTAGTTCTACTCAAAATTAGCCCAGTGCATTATGATAAGGAAACAAATTATGTGTATTGTAAGAAAAAAAAATGGTTCTCTATATTTAAAAAAAGATAAATGCACAAATAACTAATGAATATGGGAAGATTTTTACGTAAACTTCAAATATATGTTTGTGTGTTGGTGGTAATTAAGAAAAGCAATACCATGCACAATAGTATTAAAATATACCAGATACCTGGGGATATGATACCCTACTTGACTAAGACTGGAATATATTGCATCAAAGCTGAAATAGCTAACAGAGTCCTAAAACAGTAAAAAAATGACAAGGTCCCTGCAGAAGGGCCCAGTGAGAGCTATAAAGTCCAGCTAGCCAGAACTCAGTGCTGAGTTAAGGGCCTCCCAAGTGAGAAAATGGTCAACAACATCTACAACAAGCAGGGTTTTAGAGTTCCGAATACAGAATGACTTTTAGCTCTTGCAGTTTACTTTTCTAGACTCACTTGGTATGAGGGTGCATAGTGTAGCTTTAAGAATAGGGTCATGCGACAGGTAAGAGCAGCTGTTCATATGTCACAAAACATCATCTGTCACCTTTTACATGCTGCCCACCATGCCCTGGACACCATGCCCTGACACACAGAACTCTGCTGTTCTCCATTTCCTCCCCATAAAACTCAGCCGCCGGTGATTTTTTTTCTTTTTTCTTTTCTTTTCTTTTTTTGTTTTTGTTTTTCAAGACGGGGTTTCTCTGAGTAACAGCTCTGGCTGTCCTGGAACTCAATTTGTAGAGCAGACTGGCCTTGAACTCACAGAGATCCACCAGCCTCTGCTTCCCTTGTACTGGGATTAAAGGCGTGCACCACCACCACTCACGTAACATATGAATTCTAACACCATGAACACACACAGGGCAGGCCCTCTCCTGTTTACCTGGCATCTTCCTTAGCTAACAAGCATGCTCTTCAGGTCTGTGTCATTTCAAAAGCTGGCCTAGCTGACCTCTCCACCTCCTCCTTCCTTCTCTATCTCTTTTAATCTTCAGAGACATCAGCTATTAGTGTCCCTACATGCTCTTATTGTCTTCCATCCAAAAGTCACACAGGCCTGTGTATGTTTGAACACACCTTCCCTAAAAATCTTAGGGCTGTGGGCTTTTTTGTTTTGTTTTGCTTTGTTTTGTTTTTACTAGTGGGATCATTCTTTGTAAATTTTAAGATTTAGTGTGTGTGTGTGTGTGTGTGTGTTTCTGCATGTATGGAAGTACAGCACATGCAAGTCTGATGTCCTTAGGGGTCAGAAGAGGGCATGGATCCCTGGGAATTGGTTGAAGATAGATGGTTGTGAAACACCATGTGAGTCACAGGACCCGAACCTTGGTCCTCTGCAAAAGCAGTGAGTGCCCTTAACTGCTGAGCCATCTCTCTAAGGCCTATAGGTAGCTATTACTAACTTCATTTTAGAGCACTTAAAATAATGAACAAAGAGAAACTGAGTAACTTGCCCCCAGGCTACTAAGTCAGTAAGTGGAAGAAATGTCTTCAGAAAAATTTTAGTCACTATAGTTTTTTTTCAAGACAGGATTTCTCTGTATAGCCTTGGCTATCCTGGAACTCGCTCTGTAGACCAGGCCAGCCTTGAACTCAGAGATCCACCTTCCTCTACCTCCCAAGTGTTAAGATTAAAGGTGTGTGCCACCACCACTGGCTTTAGTCACTATTTTAATCCACTAAGAAGCATGGGTAATGGCTAGTAAAGAAAGAAAACTATAACCCAATAATATTTAGAAGGGAGAAATACAAAGTTCCTTCGTTTAATTAAAATCTGAGAACATTCGTTATTTCCACTATCGAATACCTACTTGAGACTGTTATATATTAATAAACTCCTTTTCTCTGGGAACTTTCAGTTCATTCTGGGAGTCATGTTGTTTTATACAACATGGTGATCTGAGGAAGACGTCCCCAGAGATTCTGAGGGAACTCAAAGGAGGGCACTTAGGTAGCCTTGGCAGAAGATAGGAGACTTCCTTAAGAATAACATCTTGACAGGTGGTGGTGCACACCTTTAATCCCAGCACTCAGGAAGCAGAGGCAGGTGGATCTCTGTGAGTTCAAGACCAGCCTGGTCTACACAGAGAGTTCTAGGACAGCCAGGACTGTTACACAGAGAGACCTTGTCTCAAAAAACAAAAAAAGAGTTTAAGGACAGTCTGGGGTACATGAAGACTTGTATTTGTAACAATAATAACAATCACACTAGCAATCAGTACAGAACAAGGAAGGCGACAGTCCCATTACATTTAGGACCGACAAAACTCAACATGGCGGGTTTCTTGCTATCATTCTCTAAGCCACATGTGGCATACAAATGCATTAGAGGAGACTAGTACTTGTTCAAATATTCTTTCAAGTGGTAATCTGAATGAAATGCCTGTGGCACTTTGCAGGATGATCTCAGAGCTCCCTGCTGATTGCCCTGTCTGACTCGTCTACCCCTACCCCTACCCCACTCCCAACTCTCACCCCTACCCCTCCCAACCTTCATACTTGCTGTCCTCTGCTGGTCTACTCCCTTGGCCTCTGGGCCTGGCTCCTAGTCCTCATGTGGGTCCCACTTGCTCTGCTTCCTGGCTTCGGCTTCGGCTCCACTTCTCAAAGCTTCTTCTGACATTCATTTGGCTCGCTCCATCCAAGCTCATCTTTCCTGGACACCAGCATGTCCTCTCCCCGACTTCCTCAGCTTTCCCTTCGTCACTTGAGGTTCTCCAACTTGGGACACACTGGTGACTTTACCCAACTATCTTACTGCCTGTCTTCCCTCCTACAATGTTAGCTACATGGAGGTGAAGTTCTGTTTCTTTTCTGTTCTTTGATGATGGGTCACCAGAATCTACAGTGGTACCCATGTGCCTGGCCAGTTGAGGACCTTCAGCAAATATTTGTTGGATGGATAAATGAAGACAGATGAAAAGAGAAAAATACATGCCCAGATGGTTTCCCCTGAAGACAAGAAATGAACGGTAAAAAAAGAAACAATTAAAATACCTGAAAGAGCAGCTCAGGTGCCCATTGATGAACGAATCCTAAGTCAATGTGGTATAAGCACACAGTGGGGTATTATTCCGCCTCAGAAAGAATGTAAACCCTCCTTTGGGGAAATCGTGCTAAAGGAAATGAGTAGTCCTTTTTTTTTTTTTTTTTTTTTTCTTTTTGGTTTTTCGAGACAGGGTTTCTCTGTGGCTTTGGAGGCTGTCCTGGAACTCCCTCTGTAGACCAGACTGGCCTTGAACTCACAGAGATCCACCTGCCTCTGCCTCCTGAGTGCTTGGAATAAAGGCGTGCGCCGCCACTGCCCGGAAAAAAGGAAAATCCTGCCCCTTCCCACCTAGGTTAGGCACCCAATGGAAGATTCATAGAGACAGAAAGCAAGAGGGCAGGTGTCCGAGGTGAGGGGGAAGGGCGGCACAGGAAGCTGCCTCATGGGGGTACAAGTTTGATTTTTTTTTCAAGAAGAAAAGCTTCTGGAGATCTGTTGCAAAACAACCGCACTCAACCCTCTGAACCGTATACTCTGAATTGGTTAAGTGATGGCTTTGTTTTTTTAAGCCTAGAGAGCTCAAGTGAGACAGAGTGTGCATAGACGGAGGGTCACGGGCCTGCAAGTTACTGAGGAGCTAATCTGGATACTATGGGGTTCACATCCAGAGAACCTGGCGGACTCAGGGATCCTGAGGGTGAAGGGAGAGCGCGTCCAGGGAAGCACGTGTACCGCAGAGGTAACCAAGGGGATGCTAGCCATGGAGCTCGGACCCTGCCGTTTTGCTGTTTCAGCACAAGTCAGGTACTCAATAAATATTTGTTCAATAAATAATCTTGACACAGAAGCACAGTGCTTTGTGAGTAATGGGTAACTAATAAATATTTAATTGTGATATCACAGTTTGCCTTATAAATGCTATCTAAAATAAAAGAGTTAAAAGCTGCATGATACTGATATGTTTTCAACATTAGGAGATCTTTCAAGATATTAATTGGGGTTTTTAAGACCCACATAGCATTATTATTTTAGGAGAGCAGGTTCACTATTTGGCTTGTTATTCAGAAGTCTGTTCTTTAAGCAAAGAGCTGTGGCATGAAAATGTGTTCCCCCAGAGCTATTATATATTTTATAACATCTTCAGGGAATTGAGGATATAATATTTTATTCTGAGTTTTGTGATGGTTCAATAGATCTGTTTTCCCAATTAGCTATATGCCTACAGTTCTTTAAAGAACAAAATACTTCAAAAATGTCACATAGTATGCCCAAACTGCATATAATTTTACATGTCAGCTAAAAATAGTGAAATTTTAAGTAATAGGAATTTTGTAAAATTTTATTCCAAATGTATGACATAATTCCCCAGATTTTTCTGTTCCTAAAATCATAGAAGAACACGCACAGAGATGCTGTGAATTGTGCGTCTCTGCAAATGTTCTCCTGCTCCTGCTAACCCAGCCCACCTGCTCCCTGGGGTGAGCTATGTTTTGTGTGTCTCTAGCCCTTTATTTAGCAACTTCCTTTGTCTAGTCGCCCTTTCCCAAACAGTTTTTCTTACCTGTGTTGTGGTGACAGCATTACACCTTCCCCTTAGAGTTTTAGATGACCCAGCTTTCAAGCATTTGATTAGAAATGCGTCTAGGAGAACGTTAGGCATAAAATAAGTGTGAGTGCCAGCTGTTATTACTCACCTTTTCGTTGTTATTTTAAGGTTTGTTTTTATTTATGTGTGGTTGCACGTGTGCCAGGTGTGTTGGTGCTCCTGAGGAGACCAGAAGAGGATACCTGTTGTATTCCCTGGAACTAGAGTTGCTGGAGGTTGTAAACCACCAGATATGAGTGCTGGAAACACAGCTTGGATCCCCTAGAACAGAAAAATGTGCTGTTGACCACGGAGCTATCTCCAGCCCCTTACTCGTCTTTTAAGACTGTTAAAGCCTCATGTTTACAGAGGATTGGTGGCTGTAAGTCTTAGTCGGCTGTCTCCACACTCCTCCAGGTGTGCAAAGGGCACACTTTGAACCATTGGGTGACAAGAGTGATGACTCAGCATTGATTCACGACAAACATGAGTAGTGTTTGCTCCTCAATTAAGTTGGAACATTTTTCTAATCTGACAAGAAAAATTTGAAATGTCCAAATTAATTATGATAATTCTTTTCATCTGTCTCCACGCAAATCTGGGTTTCCTTAAAAGATGACTCAAGCCAGGAGCCATGGCCTGGTGGTTAAGAGCACTGACTGCTCTTGCAGAGGACCAGGACCAGAGTTCAGCTCCCAGCACCCATGTCAGGTGGCTCATAACCAATTGTAACCCCAGCTCCAAGGGATCTAAAGCCTTCCTCTGGCCTATACAGACACCCCACACACGTGTACACACAGGCACCCCCACACTTGTGCACACAGGCACACATACACATATGTACACACAGGCACCACCTCACAACATATAAATAATAAAATAAAATGTTTTTAAAAGACCCCTCAATATCTTTTCTGCACTATCCTCTCTTTCTGAATTCTCAGTGAAAATAATTGCCAGAGTAGAAATAGCTTCACCAAATAAATATTTAAGCTTTATGCAGATTCAGTTTATTTTAGGGTCATCTTACTGAAAATTTTCAAGCCAGTCTGGGTGGTTTCTTCCTGAGTCTTCTGAAGGAGCCAATACATACAGCCAAAGGATAAGTCTGTGGTCACAGAGCTTGGTTACAGCACCACCTAGTGGCCATGTTTTAGCACTTTTGAAATGTTTCTACAATTCACTTTTTTTTTTAGTTGAGAATTTCATACATGAAAATAATGCAGTGGTTCTCAACCTTCCTAATGTTACGACCCTTTTATACAGCTCCTCATGTTGTGCTGACCCCAACCATAAAAATTATTTTGTTGCTACTTTATAACTGTAATTTTGCTGTCCAATATCTGTTTTCAGTGGCCTTAGATGCCCCCTATAAAAGGGTTGTTTCATCTGTTCATGTATTTATTTTATGTGTGAGTGTTTCACCTCTGTGTGTGTGCATTGTGTGTGTGTGTCTGTGCGCGCGCATCACGCGTATGACTGATGTACGAGAGGGTCAGCAGAGACCTTTGGATCCCCAGAGATTGCGGTTACAGAAGTTGCCAGCAGTCACTTGGGTTCTGGGAATCACACCAGTGATCTCTGCAAGAACTGCAAGAGTACTCTTGATGACTGAGCCATCTCTCTAGCCCTGTATGTATTCATATTTGAGAAAAGAGTTCCATTTATCTCAGACTGGCAGAACTTGCTATGTAGCCGAGGCTAGCCTGGAATATTTGAGAATACTCCTGCCTCAGGCTCCTAACCCTTGAATTGCAGGCACGCCCCACCAGGGTCCACTCATTTTACTGCCTACATTTGCAATAGTCACGAATCACTCCAGGCCTTTCTAGCGTTGTAAGCAGCAGCTCTCTTCATCATTAGTCCTCCCTCTACCTACCTTAGATCTCATCAACAGAGCGGGAATTTAAGGGCGTGCTGCATGCAAGACCTACAATAGCACCGAGTGCTAAAGACCTCCCTTCCTCCCATAAGATCAGAGGGACCCCTGCAGGGAGGCAGAGCGCAGGACACCTGTTTCTTTGGGCCCTTTGCCCAGGGCCAAGGCACCCCTCCCTTTGCACACTTTCTTCTAAACAATCGTCCTCTCCCATCTTTTCAAACCAAACAATTCCGTCAAAAATAGAGTTTCAGGCATTAAATCAGGAAATGGTACTAAACAAACGGAAATGTTTTGCTTCTAATACCAAAGCCATTTGTTTACGTTTAGAAATCGTTTCCATCCAAAGCCCCTTATTGAAAAGAAGCACAGGTCATCAATCAAAAGACTTTATAGATAAGAAACAAGCCCCGACCTAACAATTGCAGTGAACACCAACAGCTCTCGTTGGCAGTTTTGCTGAGTCATTTTTCAGGAAACGGGCTGCCCACGGAGATTTCTACGGGAGAAACAATCAGCGCTATTTTCATATTAATAACCTCCAGTTGCCTTATTGTTCTCAAAACTTTTGTTAATAAATGTTTTCCTGTTGGGTGGGAAAAAAAACATTAATCAGAACACAAAGCCTAATCAGGTTTATTTTTATGCATTTGGAATTCTTTTCTTCAGCAAGTGATATTTAATATAATTAAATAAGAGTTAGTAATTGTAAAATACCCTCATTCAGGGAATATAGCATCAGGAAATGTTTTTTGGTTTGGGCTTTTTTTTTTTTTTTTGCAGTGGTCTTGTTACCATTCAACTACAACCCCACCCTGAATTTTAAATAACACGTGTGTCTACATCTATATCTATCTTTAGGTAGGTAGAGAGCTAGATAGATATCGATATGCTATAACATACTGGATAAATTCCTTAGGGCGACTGTAAACTATCGTTTTGAATTCCAATTTCCTTCAAGACAGAAGCCATATTCCCAGTCCTTAGTCTATAGCCCATACTTTTTTATTTATGGGGATTTTTTTTTGCTTCTTTATATTTTATTGTGTTTTTGTTGTTTAATTTGTAGCAGGGTTCCTTATAACCCTGAATGACCTCAAACCCACTATATAGCTGTGGATGATGTGGACTCCCCATCCTCCTGCTTCCTGCTCCCCAGGGCTGAGCTCACAAGCCTGTGTCACCGTGTCAGGCTTTCAGATGGCTTTAGCTGCGAGGCTGGCCTTTGGGCTTGCCCACAGAGCTCTCCCAGCTCATGAATGAGTGGCTGCAACAAGGGTGAGAAGTTCCCTGGCCCTGGGCTGAGGAAGCAGAATGTGAATCTGATGCCTGTGTGGTTCTGAGCTCTATCAGCATAAATAAGTACTGAGCTTGTTGTCCGATTTAGCACAAATACAGCTTCCATAACCTGCCCAGGAGATGAGAAAGCCTCATTTCCCAGGCACGATGCAGGTTTCCTACGAGGCACTAGACATCGTTTAGATGTGAAGCCAGGTGCCCACCTCAGTGTAGACTCCTCAGCCAGACACGGTAGCACTCATCTGTAATTCCAGCATCCAAGAGTCTGAGGTGGAGAATTGGAAGTCTGAGGTCAGTATGGGCTGCACACAAGTGCACACACACAGGCATGCACAAACTAGAGCGTGTGTGTGTGTGTGTGTTGCGACTGCTCTCTATTAGAGACTTTGGTGTTGAAGGGCCTGGGTTTGAATCCTGCTTCTTATTGGTTATCTCTGTGCCTGGGTTTCTTTTTCTACCAGACAAGCCCCTATCCCAAAAGTCTGTTGAGAGATTCAGCAAGCTAATGATGCTACAATCTTTAGATCAGCACTGGAAAAGCAATACACCAAGAAAGTGTTAGCCAGTCTGTGTTAATAAGTGAGCGCTATGTAACGTTGAAGACAGCTTTATCAAAAGAGCTGCATGCCTCTCTCTCTCTCTCTCTCTCTCTCTCTCTCTCTCTCTCTCTCTCTCTCTCTGTGTGTGTGTGTGTGTGTGTGTGTGTGTGTGTGTGTGTGTGTGTGTGCGTGTGAGTAAGAACAAAACTTGCAGGAGTCAGTTCTCTTCTTAAACCATGTGTGCTGCCAGAATCAAATTCATGTGTTGAGGCTTAGCAGCAAGCAGGCAGCCCTCCATCTTAGTTATTGAGACAAAGTCTCTCACTGAACGTGGAGTTCATCAATTCAGCTAGACTGGCTGGCCAGTAAGCTCCAGGGATCCTTCGATCTACACACACACACACACACACACACACACACACACACACACACACACACACACACACGCACGCAGGCACGCCCACTGCTGGGGTCCCAGAGGCACACCTCTGAGCCAGGCTTTACCTGGTGCAGGGGATCTGAACTCGGGTTCGCATGCCTGCATGGCAACACTTTACTCACTGACCCATCTCGAGCTCCAAGGAGCATTTTTATTTTTTGTTCGGTGAGTAGAATTAGTTCTTTGTTTGTTTGTTTCTCAAATGAGTACCCGTGGATTTTTTTAAAGCCCAATGGTTAGAGTTTTGAAAAGCTCAGTGACTCATAAAAACATTAGGAGAGTACAGATTTCGGGTGCTTATAAAATTATTTCCTATGTATAATTCTCTGGTTTATAAATTTAATCATTCATCTTTCAAAATAAAACTACATACTTAAGACTTTAGAGGTATAATGGCACATACCTATATCCCCAGCATTCCAAGGGCTGAGGCAGAAAGATCACCACAAAGTTCAAGACTAGCCTGGACTACACAACGAGTCTCTGTCACAAAAAGTAAAAAAATAATTGGAAACTCCACTGTGTTCCAAGCTCTTTCAAAGTCCAGAGGTCAGCAGAGAAGAGTTCTCCGTTGTTTCAGCTTGAGGGAGAGGGCTGAGGTTCTGCTGCAGTCAACTTCAGAGCTGCTCATGCTCACACTAGCTGGAAGCCTCCACCTCTAAACCCCAAAGCAGAATCCCACACAGATCTGCCTGATGCTCTGTTCATATCTACGCTATAGGACACGGCTTCCCTGGCTCATTGGATGGCTACAACTTGGAACCATCCTTTTTAAAACTGCTTTTATTACCATACAGTAATTGTGAATAATGATGGCTTTCACTATGACATCTTTATACATGTGTATAATGTATTTTGATCATTTTCAACCCTCCATTACCCACTATTGTCCCCCTTCCCACTCTTACTAATCTTTCTTCTCAATTAGTCTTCTACTTATATGTGTGTGTATGTGTGTGCTCTCCCAATCACTTTCATTAGAGTTCTTTATAGAAATATGGATAAGAATTGCTTACAGGAGCATGGACCCCTTACCAATGGCTACACCACTTAAGAAAATATCTTTCTCCAGTCAACCATTAACTGCATGTAAATCCTCAGTGGGTAGGGAGTATCCCAGGAGCCTCTCCCTCCATGCCAAAATGTTGATGGGTCCAGTCTTGTGGAGATCTTGTGCAAGTGATCTTGGCTGCTGTGAGAAAGAGAATAACAAGACATGTTATACCCAGAATTCAAGAGTTTTGCAACTCTTTCTGCCCCTATGCTGCCTCTGGCTCCTACATTCTTTTTGCCCCATCTTCCATAGTGTCCCCTGAGCCTTAGAGGAAGTGATACAGCTGTCTCATTTATGTCTATTCAACGGTCATTACTTCTCTGTACTTGGAGCACATGAGTCTCTATGGTTATTGCTGGTGGCCACAAACAGACTCTTCCCTGGCCAAAGCTGACACCAACACTATTGGAAAGGCATAAGGGCTATCCCTTCTCTTGGGAGCTTCCATTATGCAATCTAGAGGTAGTCACCCATTTGCTCTGCCAGACTTCTGGAACTTAATCTTGGGAACAAAGAATAGGATCAGCATTAGAAAGATAGCCACACTGGGCATTGGTGGTGCACGCCTTTAATCCCAGCACTCGAGAGGCAGAGGCAGGCGGATTTCTGTGAGTTCGAGGCCAGCTAGTCTACAGAGCTAGTTCCAGGACAGCGTCCAAACAATACAGAGAAACCCTGTCTTGAAAAGGAAAGAAAGGAAGAAACAAGAAAGGAAGAAAGGAAGGAATGAATGAATGAAGGAAGGAAGGGAGGAAGGAAGAAAGAAAGAAAGCCACAAATTCTGGGATCACGGAATCAGCAGGAAAAGGATCTGGTTAGCAGTCCCTTAAGTGTTTCCTGGGTTGCTTTGACATTCTCTCAACAGCCACTTAAGGCCCCCACTATGACAGAAGATTGCGTTCTCATGTGGCTTTCGTCATAGCTCCCTGGCTTCTCTTTAGCTTGTTTTATAAATGTAGTGGTTTTCCCCAAGAATTTAAAAATTCTTTATTAAATTTCTCCTTACCCTAGATTCCTGTGTGTTCCTGTTTCCTGTGTACAAATCCTAAATCTAGATTTCTCAGTTGCACTTCTCACTTAAGCTCCAACTTCCTTACCAAAAAACTATGTAATATTTCCACTATAACACCTCACCCCAACAGAGAGGTTTAAAGCTGAACTCATTAACTTCCCTCAGTTTGTAAAGCCCCCTTCATGCGCAGAACACACTCCAACACAGACATTCTCACTGGACTCTTGTTCTCCAGGAAGGTCTCTGCCAAGCACTGATCTCCAGTTCTGACCTGAGCAATTCTGGGCATCGGTAGATTGTAGACTGATTTTTCTTTGGGCTACCAGCTCTCTCTCTCTCTCTCTCTCTCTCTCTCTCTCTCTCTCTCTCTCTCTCTCTCTTACACACAACACACACACACACACACACACACAAACCAACAACAAAAAATCAACAACCAAATAAAATAAAATAAACAGAGAAAGCTTGGCCTATAGCTTAGGCTTGTCCCAGTAGCTCTTATAACTTAAATTAATCCTTTATATTAATCTACATTTTTGTCTCATGACTTTTTACCTCTTTTCCATTTTGCCTCTCCTGTTTCCTCTTCTTGTCCTCTGGTGTCTTCTCTTCCTCTCTCTCTGTCTGGAAGTCCTGCCTAATCTCTTCTTGCCTAGCTGTTGTCCATTCAAGCTCTTTACTAAACCAATCAGAAGGCACCTTGGCAAAGACACATCTTCACAGCACACAAAAAGGTTATTCCACAAAAGTAGATGCTATTGCTGTTATTTGCAATGGGTTTCTGGACATCTGATTATTCAATGAACTTCTCTGGCACAGCTCTTTGTTGTTTTGATGTTTTGAGACAGGGTTTCTCTGTGTAGCCCAGGCTGTCCTGGCACTCACTCTGTAGACCAGGCTGCCCTTGAACTCACAGAGATCCACTGCCTCTGCCTCCTGTATGCTGGGATTAAAGGTGTCCACCATACCCAGCTAAGTTTTTTTAATATCTGAGTGTTTTCACCTTTGACTCCATACATGGACGTCTTAATTAAGCAAAATAGAATCAGCTTAAGCAATGAGTTGCTTCTTCCTCCTGAAACCATTTTTTTTATCTTTTGGTCAGTGACTTGGTTGGTTGTCTGGAGGTTATTTAGTTTTTTGTTTTTTGATTTTTTTTGATAGGTCTCACTGTAACTCAGGAGGGTTTTGAATATGATCCTTTTGCTTCAGCCCTGTGCATGCTGGGATTACAGACATACATCACCTCACTAGGTTTCACTCCCCATAATCTCTTCAAATTTCCCATTGCTGACTATCTCTTTCTCTGGGTTGGCTACTACTCAGAAATATTGACACAGCAAACAACCTGTCTGACAAAACTTTTGGGAGTAAGTTTGGTTTGCAGACCCTGACACAATCTGGCCCCTTACAAGGACAGTAATTATAGAGTAAGACTTAAGAGAATGACTGAGGTGAAGTCCTTCATTCCAAACACGGGATGACAGAAAGGAAGTTTCCACTAATACCGGCTTCTACAGGGCTGCAGTTCAATGGGTGATCTGTATGCTTCCTTTTTACTTCTAAACACACGTGTCCCTTTGTTTCTCAGGAAGCGATCATCATGTAGCCATGGGAATCAACGAGTGCAGAGGAAATGTTGCAGGGGAATAATGGAGCCAACTCGCTCAACTCCACAAAAATTGGTCACATCCTAAAACAATGAAAGAACAGGTATCCAAAGGCTCTTAAAGGAAGTTCAGTGTTTTGACAGTAACTTTTGCTGTAAGTGAAGGAATTCCAGAGTGCTAAAGCATTTGTAAAATGTGAACTAAGCCTGTTGCTCATTCTCACTCTTTCATCTCAATAACCCTAATGTCCCCTTGCCACAGTATTCCCGTTCTATCAATAAACTCTTAGTTTAAGTGACTTTCCAAAGACAAACGCGACGCTCCTGTGGATGGCCCCACATCCAGAAGGACACACAAACAACGCATATCTGATTTTATGGCTTAGTAAATAAGTAAATAAATAAATGCACACATACATGAATTTTGAAGGTATAGAGATGGGGTATTTGGGAGGAGTTAAGAAACTGGAGTGAGAGCCGGGCATTGGTGGCGCCCGCCTTTAATCCCAGCACTCGGGAGGCAGAGGCAGGTGGATCTCTGTGAGTTCGAGGCCATCCTGGTCTACAAAGCGAGTTTCAGGACAGCCTCCAAAACAATACAGAGAAACCCTGTCTCGAAAAACCAAAAAAAAAAAAAAAAAAAAAAAAAAAAAAAAAGAAAGAAAGAAAGAAAGAAAGAAAGAAAGAAAGAAAGAAAGAAAGAAAGAAAGAAAGAAAGGAAGAAACTGGGGTGAGGGTTTTTGTCCAGTTAAGACACCCGTAGCTGGGAAATTGGTGCGAGTTGTTTCTTCTTGTGTGAACATGGTGCGAACCAAAGCAGACTCGAGCCCCCAGGAAAGTGCTCCTCCACCTTTGTCACAAATTCTTCATTATGTTCGTTAAGAAAAGCTGAAAATAAGTATGCAGGAGGGGAATCCAGTTTGCGTGAGCCCAACTCCAAAATGGCAAAAAGGCATTGGAGAATTCTTCAGGCTGTCCCCTAAAGACTCTGAAAAAGAGAACCTTGTTCCTGAAGAAGTGGGATGCAGAGGATTAGGAACAGCAAAGAGAAAACCATGTCCTTTGCAACCTGATCACACAGATGAAGAAAACAAATAGAACTTACTCATCTGAATACTGTCTTCAGTTTACTTAGGTATTCTGGGATGTAAATTTGGGTAGATGTGTTTGTTCAATGAGCTTGTTGAACAGGCATTTAGTTAAGGGGGGGCACTAAAATTTAGCCATTTAAAAGCAACTGGCTATAATATAAGAGGAGACATTTTATTATAATTTGTAAATTATAATTGCATACTTAAATTAATAATGTCATATGATATGTTGCTTCTTTTACCCGTTAAGCTTCTTACTAAAATCAACATTGCATGGTGTTCCAATTACTAATATACTGTCTTTGAGATTTGCTTAGATCTTTGTTCTAATACCATTTTACAGGAATTTGATTATTGAAATAGTGTCATTGTTATGTCCTGTTTGCCTTAAAAAGTTGATTTAGTCTTGTTCACATTAAAAAATTAGTATAAATTAAATTTAATCTCTTGTCATTTTTCAAGATGGGGGCAAAGAGAAAATGTTGAATATATATATTTCCAGCTCCATGGGATCCAGCACCATCTTCTGGCTTCTGTGAGCACCTGCACTCATGTGCACACCACTGTGTACATGCATACATTAAAAAAAAAATAGCTGGACAATGGTGCTGCACGCCTTTAATCCCAGCACTCGGGAGGCAGAGGCAGGAGGATCTCTGTGAGTTCGAAGCCAGCCTGGTCTACAGAGCGAGTTCCAGGACAACCTCCAAAACAATACAGAGAAAACTTGTCTCAAAAAAACAAAAAAAGGCCAAATTCTGATTCCTCAGAAAATTTTCTTATTCTCCTTCTCTTGTAGCAGAGCTGATAATGGTTCACTAAATCTTTGTAGAGATCCGAAGTTTGTGTTTCACAGAAACTTGATGAAATTGATGGTGATATTGGCTCAGTAAATGGAACTGAGGGTGGCAACAGTGTTTCATCCTCAGAACCTTCACGTAGTGACATTTATCTTTAACTTACAAGTCCAGTCTCACTACTTTATGTCATATTTTCTGTTCAATACAAATTATATTACTAGCTACTCTCATGTATACAATTCTAGATGGGACTAAGGCAGGCTAGGGCTCGTGAGGAGGCTCCACGGTCATCAGACACCCCGGTTGCATCTGTCCTTGCACTTTCTATCCTAACAGTGGCTTCAAATCTCAAGGTTTATCTCAAGATGAAAAACTATGCTGCCATGCTGCTAGAACCCGGTCACAACGTCGTTTGTTCATACAGCAGGAAGAACAGTAGGAAAGTACAGAAAGGATGTAGTATAGACTGACTTTTTTTTTCTTTGCCACCTGTCAGTTACAAAACAATCAACATGAAGACTCAGTTTTAATACTAAACGCTCAGCCAACAGCTCAGGCCTGTTACTAGCTAACTCTTACATTTAAATTAGCCCACGCGTCTTGTCTATGCTTTGTCACGTGACTTGGTACTCTTTCTCAGTATGGCATGCTCATCTTGCTTCTCTCTGTGTCTCTCGAGACTCCTGACTCTGCCTTTCTTCCCAACATTTTCAGTTTGGACTGCCCGCCTAATTTTATCCAGTTCAGCTATTGGCCAGTCAGCTTCTTTATTAAACCAATCACAGCGGGCACTGGGCAGGGTTTGGTTACTTGATCAAGCCTACCTGGGAAAGGAGACTTTATGTGACTTAAGGAAGAGTGGGAAGAATAGGGAAGATGTGTGTGGCTGCAGTGACAAAAGCGGAGCTGAGGAACAGAAAGGACTGGACAAGCCAGGCAGCGGTGGCGCACACCTTTAATCACAGCACTCAAGAGGCAGAGGCAGGCGGATCTCTGAGTTCGAGGCCAGCCTGGTCTACATAACCAGTCCCAGGACAGCCAGGGCCACACAGAGAAACTCTGTCTCAAAACATACAAAAAAAAAAAAAAAACAACCAAACAAACAACATCAAAATGAACAAACAACAACAACAAAAAACCAACCAAACAAACAACATCAAAATGAACAAACAAAAAACAAAGCAGCAGAAAAGCCTAAACCAAAGAACAAAAATTTCAAATGTAAATGAGAATGACTGTGTTTAAATCTCAGGTCTGGTATTTATCAGGAGAAGCAGGGAGACCAGGTAAAAGGGTGAATTGAATCAGAGTGGTGGTGATAGAGCAGATGAAAAATGATCATTTTCTGACTCCAATTTGAAGGGTAAAGCAACCGGACTTGTTAATGGGTTGGAATACAAGAGAAAATGAAGTCGAGGGTGGTACCAAGGGTTTGTTTACTTGCTTGAGGACTGAAAGACTAGAGTTGACACTCTCTAAGAAGATTAGTGTGGAAGAATGAGCTCAGGTTGGGAGTGTGTATTAGACACCCGAGTGGAGGTCCTGAGTTGGGTATAGTCTAGAACACAGAGACTCGGTATAGGCTGGAAGTAAATGTTTAGAAGCCATCGATATGAAGATCATGTGGAAAGCGCTGAACTGAATGAAACATGAAAGTCATGGGTACAGGTCTAACAGAAAACTGCTAAGAACTGAACCCTGGAGTCCTCGCTCCCTCCTAGAGTAACCTGGAGAGGAAAAGGACCGGAGGCTTTGGGGAGTGTAGCTCAGTGGGAGACCATGTGCTTACCACGAAGGAGTCTTAGAGGTGATCTCCAGCACCGAAAAAGGAAGGAAGAGAGGAGAAGAAGGGGAGAGAGAGAAAGAGGGAGGAGGAGGAGATGAAGAAGAAAATCTGAAACGAGAAGCAGTTGGTAGGAGGGAAGTCGGGGTAGAAGCTGTAGGCTGAAAGGTACCTTCTGAATGGCTGTGACTGCCTTAGCACCGGTCACCAGCTGGCCAGTGCCTGTGCTGTGGCTGTCTGACAAGAGAGGTTTCTGTAGATGAGGGGAGTAAAAGGGGTCAAGGAGGGGGCTTTTCACTTCTGTAAGTTTACTGAAAAGGGAAGGTAAGAACTGGGAGGTGGCCGGGCGTTGGTGGCGCACGCCTTTAATCCCAGCACTCGGGAGGCAGAGGCAGGCGGATCTCTGTGAGTTCGAGGCTGGGCTGGACCGACAGCCTCGAAAACAATACAGAGAAACCCTGTGTCAAAAAAGAAAGAGCTGGGAGGTAAGCTGGAGGAGAAAGTGCGGTAAGAGAGTCACGTGTTGTGTTTAGATTTTTATGGTGAGAGACACTTGTGTGGTGCTGGCAAACACTGGCAACGCAGGAGAGTGGGAGGGCTATGGCATCATGCTTGATTGGCTAGGTAGGTCGGGCTTGAATCAAGTTGTCTTCTAACTGCCGCGTGTGCGCGGATGTGTATCTAGACATGCACTCACGCATGCGCAAACACACATACGCAAATAAATGTAGTTTAAAACGAGAGAGGATGGAAGCAGGGAGGAGAGGAGAGAGATCTAGAGAAAGAGGGAGAGAGCGTGTGCAATCTAGAGGTTTGTGGAAGTTACCTTCTACTGGCTTTATTTCCTCACTAGACAGAAAGCAAGGTCATTGTGACAATGAGGTAGGAAGAGGGTAAAGTTTTGAGGAAAAAAAATGGTATAAAATACCCCTCTCCCCAGCAGAGCAATGAATGAAGGACCTAAGGAATAGACGGTGCACGTTCTGGGCAGCCAGAAGGGCCCGCCAGAGGCAATGATGAAGAACGGAGCCAGGCACAGGGGTGCACGGCTGTGAGCTCCACCCTGAGGAGATGGAGGCAGCCGGAGCACGGAGTTTGAAGCTGGCCCGTTGAGAACCTGTCAATGAAAGGAAGGAGGGAGAGACACAGAAAGAGAAGGAACAAAAGAATCGAACACGACCAGACCAGCTTGGCTGCGAGCCACGCTCCAGCTTTGCTCAGCTATGGGAGTGGGGTGGGGGAAGGGGCCACCTGAACAAAACTAGCCATAGTTCAACAAAGTGAGCAGGGCCAGGGAGCCGAGGGAATGCCTCGAGCTAGGCAGGGAGTGACAGTGAGTGGGTGTGACCGTAGGGTTGAGACGATGGGTGTGGCGCTCTGAAGGTGGAAGAGGGTTAGTGCCTAGAATACGCATGTGTCCCCTAAACAACCCCTCCCATTTCCAATCCACCCTACTGATATCCTATCAGTGTGAGTTCAAACTTTACTAAAAAAATAAGCATGGCAGCCTCCATCCAAGACTTCCCACTGCCGACCTGAAGGGTGAAGTCATGTTCCTGGACTCATGACGTTGGTAAACTTCCTGCCATTTCTTAATCCACAACGTCAAGATTCCAGTAGGCTTCCCGGCATGG